ACTGCTGACTGAACCATGCAACCCAATAAGTGCTCGGATCCACTCCTCAGTAAATCCCAGTTTATAGCAGCTGATGACACTAGTTCTGTGAGGGTTTATGCTTTTTTTTTTTTTATTTCAGTATAGTAGCCTCAGCCTTTTTGATTTGCTATTCTTGCATGGTTGCAGTCTCACAGTTAAATACAATGGAAGTGCACAGACAACACTGCATATTTCATTTTGAGCAAACACAACAAAGTCAGGGAACACATTATGTGATGGTTAGGAATTTCATTATTCATGATACTTTTGTTCCTTTATGAGTCTCATAGTCTATTCCTCTATTCCATTATGTTATGTGCAATCAATTCCCGTCTCTCTAGCGTAATTGGCTATACCGGATTGCGCGGTGAGCGGGTGACGAACTCCTTGTGGTCTGGGTTCGATCCCGGGGGTAGGCAGAAAAGCCACATTTCTCCCAGATTTACGGTATTTAAAATGGAATTAAGGCCGAAAGGTTGCGATATCCATAATACCAAGCCAAAGGGTTAACAACTCATGGCTTCTGGATACTAAAACAAACAGAACAAGTGCAATCAATATAATATCAGCAGCTTTGGCCTCAATCATCAGCATTCGTCTTAGGGTTTCTTTTGGGCTTCCTTTATCCCTTTAACTCTTCTGATGCTTGTTTGGTGATTCTCTGCTGGCTTCATCTCAGGATCTGTCTATTGTAGCACCATCTTCTCTGTTTTATAACTCTTGATACAGGTGGTTACAGTCATTTCTTCACTACTTTTGAATTCGTACCATTTTATTTTCATCATTCTTCTTCTGCCTTTCTATCCCCTATTGGAGCATAGGCCCTCAACCAACTCACGCCAAGTCGTTCTACCCTTCGCCATTGCATGGAGCTCTCCCCATGTCCTCCCCATCTTTCTAACTTCATTCTCCAGCTCTCTTCTCCATGTGTTTTTTGGCCTTCCTTTATTCCTTTAGCCCCTGTGGGTTCCAGTGCAAAGACATTCTAGTTATGCTGTTCTTCTGTTTTCTCAGTGTGTGTCCTATCCATTGCCAGCGTCTTTTCCTCACCTCGTGGTCCACTGGAGCCTGTTTAGTTCTCTCCCAAAGTTCTACATTAGTTATTCTATCATACCATTTAATCCCCTCTATTCTGCGCGGGCACCAGTTAATGAATGTCTGTAATTTATTAGTAATTGTCTTAGTTGTTCTCCATGTTTCCGCCCCATACAATAGTACTGATTTGACATTAGAATTGAAAATTTTTAGTTTAGTATTTCTTTTAATTTCTTTTGACCTCCACAAATTCCCTAGTGCTATGAAAGCTCAGGTTGGGATATACCCAGCACATATTACCTGTGGCTGAAATAGTTAACTCTTCAAGTCTTATATGTTTGGATGCCCTATTCTCTGCACTATTCATTAACTCTTTTAGCCCCAGACAAACAAATTTTATGTTATGGACTGTTCTTTTTTTTTTATCCCAGTCAACAATTTTTTTTTTTTTTAATCATAGAATACTTTAAAAATCTGGCATCCATTATCCATTTTAGTCTGGACTATAATGCACTTGTGGTTTGCTTTTGTATAAGGCATCAGTTGTGAAACCTTTGTGGTCACAAAAATTTCATCTGAAATTGAAATAATGTGTTAATTTAAAATTTAAAAAAATTCTTTATGTACATAAAAGTGCAAGAATACATATGGCACGTGTTTGTTGTAAAACCTGGACAGTAACAAACATGGCTGTCTTAGATAAATAACATTACAAATGTAGAATATTAACCGGAATAGTTCATTAGGCAAATTAAAATATAATAAACAATAGGACCAAAGTATAAATAGAAACTTAAACAAGGCAGTCTTAAAATACTTTGCACAAGCTACATAATTTGTCATTGCACAGTTGTGTCATCAAACAACACATATGTGAATATTAGTATTTACCCTTAATGAATAAAAGTCCAATATTTGTGACCACTAACCTGCATTTTTGTATTCTCTGTGTGTGTTTTATCCATGATAAAATATCTGATCCTACTAAAAAGTGTGTGTTTCCTTTAAAAAATGTTGCAAATCAACCCCAGGATTTATTGGCCATTTGTGGTTTTACAAGGCAGTTTTACATCCAGTAGTTTGCCATTACTTTTTTTAATGGTCGATGATCATACTATTGTTGACATCGATCAGCACAAAGTAATCTGAAGCTCTTCTTCTTCTTCACATTCACCGGCTCAAAAATCCTCCAGAAAGTTCTGGTTATTCGTCCACTGCTGGACTCAAGTCCTTTTTCAGAAACTTAGTATTGCACATCCGTTTCATAGGTCTGACTTATCTGCATGCAGACTGTTGGTTCCTTACTCCGACTTTGAAGGAAGTTCCTAATTAGTCGACTCTTTCAACATGCTTTTGGGCAGGCAGTGGGTCTATTCTTGTTTTTCCCACAATGAGGCCCCGGAACCCGTATGACGAGGTCTGCAGCTGAATTAAACTTAAAATGTAAGAATGATAAAACTGCATTCACAACCTCCAAACCCCAGACATCGCAACTAAAACATATTTGAAAAAACAAATGTGAACATATAAATTATTACAAACTAAAAGCAATTTCCCTGGGTGATTTTCAGCCCTCATTTGGAGAAAAAAGGGAATATACAAAATATTTGAGTACATGCATATATATATATATATATATATATATATATATATATATATATATATATATATATATATATATATATATATATATATATATATATAAACCAGGTTTTAATTTTGTCAACAATTCCAGTCATTCAGTTAACAATTTCTATCATAAAGTTAACATTTGTAGTCACTTATTGACCATCAGTCATTTCATAAACACACCCAGTGTATAGTCCTAGCTCTGTCATATGGATTTATGACTTGAATTAAAGACAGTTATTGCATTGGTTGTCAAGGCACAGAAACAAAATATCATTAAAAACAAACTTGTCCATGTTAATTTCTTTTTAAATTAAAGGCACAAATGACACATTACATAGTTAACTGTCTGACGAATCTAACTGAGTATGTGTGCATCAGTATATGTGCATTAATGTGTATTTGAATGTGTGCATTTACCATCCATGATTTGTGTGTTTACTTTAAATTAATTTTTTTTTAATTGCTATGAATATAACATACTTTATAGGTACAATACAGCTGCTGTGTGAAAGATAAATATTTGAAGGGGCTGAATGTAAGACAGGCCTGCTTGCCCACTTTGTGACTTGCTAACAAATAAAGTTTGAGTGTTCGTTCATTTATCAGGTACATACCTCAGTAGTAAGCACATATTCCAGGCAAAATAATTTGTACAATCAAATGTTTTAGTCTTTTTATATAAATAGTAGGGAAACTACTAAAAAATCCACATGTTTATATTCTTGTTCTTCTTTACTTCCTCTTTTATTGCTTTGGGTGTCACAGTAGAAATAAGGTTCTGCTTCTTGTTTTTCTGGCCAACCTGGCCACAGACAACACATTATACAGTTGTAGAATTTCTCTGATGTTATCATTCCATAATTGTTCTTTGTCTGCCTCGTTTAGTGTATGCCTTGTGTGTTATAGCAGCACAGGGCATTTTTTCTAAACATTTCTTGTTTACAACAAATGAATCCAGTCACAGTTCTTTTTATTACTTCTTAGTAACAGTTCATTTGATTAATTTCTTGTTATTATTTCTTAGTCACAGTTCACTGGATTAATTTCTTGTTATTAGCTTGGCTTTTGTCACCCCTGTTTTCACTAATTCTTGTTTAGAGGAGTAATTTTCTAGACACAACTGTTAACTAATTCGAAGCCCATTTCTTCAGATGAAATGAAAACAAAAAATCTCACCACTTGCCAGACTCACCAGAAGTATCTTGTAGAAATAGTTAACTAGTTAATTGACAGATTATTCTCATTGCACATCCAGCAAGTCCATAAGTGCTCAGATCCCATCTTCAGCATGTCTCCTCAGCGTGTGGCCACTGATAACACTATTTCTGGGTTGGTCTACTATTTTTCGTTAACTACCTGTATAGTGATGATGTCCGGCAACACCACTTGTGACCTGAAGTTCTTATAGTCTTTTTAAGTGTTGCTGATTCCTCTTGCAGAAATACTATAAAAGAATCATCCTGATTCTTTTGTGACTTTTATACTTCACATAGGGCTAGTCTATTCCTTTATTCCATTCTTCTTCTTCTTCTTCACATTCAACAGCTGGAAACTAGTGGAAAATTCTGGCTGGTCGTCCGTTTCTGGACTTCAGCCTTGTTCCAGAACTGAAGTATTGCATGCATCAGTTTTTTCATCTGACTAATTTGTATGCAGACTGTTGGGTTCCTCTTCTCTGTGGCAGATGCATTCTGACTTTAAAGGAAAAACCCTTATTAACTGCCTTTTACAACATGCTTGTTAGAGGGGAACTAGGTCTTTGGTTGTTTGTTTTCTCCTTTCTTCTTCCTACATTAGGACCTAGAAAGGATATGGGGACATGACATTCTATCATGGACAATCTTGTGTGTGGTATCCACTCCAGTACTTTTGGCTTCATCAACATTCATCTTAGGGTTTCTCCTGGGTATCCCTGTATCCTAAGTTGTTTTTTTTGCCCATTTCCCAGTGCCTGTTCTTTAATTCGTTCTCAGCTTCAAAAACTGGAATACAAGCCATCTATTTTACTGAAATCTTTTTTGCAGTCTTAACTACTGGCGCTGTTCTTAGTGAGTTTTGATCAGCTGGGATGTTGCTGATTTTTTTTAGCCACTTCAAGTGGTGTTCAGGGTGTCTTTTATTCTACCTTTCACATCAAAGGAGCACAGGTCTTCAGCAAAATCACACCAAATCTTTCTATCCATCTTATTCACCTCTACTTCTAATTCTCTTGTCTTTATGTTTTTATGTGGTTTCCATTTATATCTCTAGCCCTGTGTATTTCAGTGCAAGATCATTCTAGTTATACTATTACCAGCACCCTGTAGCAAGGCTTAAATTTCAAGTAAAGAATCCTCCATCTGATACTCATCTGGTCGCTTCTCCTCAGTGTCTGTCAGCGTGGCTGCATCCTGCAGTACAGGATCCTGAATTCCATATGTTTGTGGATTAGTAATGTCTTGATTATCATTTGAAGGACTAGCTGAGTTAGTGACAATTGGATTCTGATTTCCATACTCTGTATTTGTGTCTAGATTACCATGTGAAATATCAGTAGGTATAGGATTCTGAATTCCATATTTTTGGGGATTAGTAAAATTTTGACTTTCTAATGAAGGACTAGCTGAGGTGGCACCACTTGGATTCTGAATTCCATTCTCTGTATTTATGACTAGATTACTACGACTGTTATTTTCACATCTTTGTGGATTAAAGTCTTGAGTAGAGTGAAAATTCATGTCATCAGAAAGTATCGGATTTGTGAACCCATTTATCTCTGAAGAGTTGGCATGCAGCTCGGCATGCCGAGGTTGATCTCCATTTGCAGAGTTATAAATCCCATATTGGGCTGGACTATCAGACGGAATCTTCTCATGTGAAAGTAACGGATCATGCTCTGTGTTTGCATCTGGCACCACAATCACATTCTCTGTGTATCTCTCTGACTGCATGCCCTCATCCACCTCCAGACGGCTGAATCTTCCTTTCAGAATGAGAAGCAGAGGGAGGCAGACGGCCATGGCACCGACTACAGCCCAGTTCAGCCACATGGTATCTGAACAAGATATTAAAACAAGTCAAATCAATATTTTCAGAACATTTACAAGAACAAATCAATGAACAAAGACATGTCAGGATATTTCTCACACATTCTGACCCACTCTTCAGTAGCCAATACAGAATTATCATTCTAATGGAGCCAGTTGGTAGACATCTAACTCTTCTAGTTCCAGGAAATGCCTGATGTGTGAATGACTCTACCCATTGATTTCACTTCATAGCATAATGTGTTGTCTTCTTTTTAACATTTGGTGAGAACATACTAAAGAAACCTGGCATTTCCCAGTTGTCCCCAGGACTGCGTATGTTGCCACTTTGCAAATGATACACTTGTAATTTTCAGCATGGTTATTTCTTCCATTTGCCCTTTTCCTGTGAACTCTTCCAGTACTGAAAGAGTTCAAAATTGTTAGAGAATGTAAAGTTAAATTTTGTTTGACTGCCCAACATTTCTCGCTGTTCATTTTTTTAATATTCTGATACAAACTTTCCCGTCTTGGGGCTGGTGTCTAAGAATTCTCTTTTTCTGCTTGTCCTACTTACTGATAAAAGCTTCAGCTGAAAGGTTTGATTATCCCTTTTTTCTGCCTTGTCGTGTCTACTTTATTCATGGTGTTTGTTCAAGGACTTCAGTTAAAAGTCTCTTCTATCTTTTCCATGGTGTTTATTAAGTGACTTCAGTTAAAAGTCTTTTCTATCTTTTCCATGGTGTTTATTTAGTGACTTCAGTTAAAAGTCTTTTCTATCTTTTCCATGGTGTTTATTAAGTGACTTCAGTTAAAAGTCTTTTCTATCTTTTCCATGGTGTTTATTAAGTGACTTCATTTAAAAGTCTTTTCTATCTTTTCCATGGTGTTTATTAAGTGACTTCAGTTAAAAGTCTTTTCTATCTTTTCCATGGTGTTTATTAAGTGACTTCAGTTAAAAGTCTTTTCTATCTTTTCCATGGTGTTTATTAAGTGACTTCAGTTAAAAGTCTTTTCTATCTTTTCCGTGGTGTTTATTAACTGACTTCAGTTAAAAGTCTTTTCTATCTTTTCCATGGTGTTTATTAAGTGACTTCAGTTAAAAGTCTTTTCTATCTTTTCCATGGTGTTTATTTAGTGACTTCAGTTAAAAGTCTTTTCTATCTTTTCCATGGTGTTTATTAAGTGACTTCAGTTAAAAGTCTTTTCTATCTTTTCCATGGTGTTTATTAAGTGACTTCATTTAAAAGTCTTTTCTATCTTTTCCATGGTGTTTATTAAGTGACTTCAGTTAAAAGTCTTTTCTATCTTTTCCATGGTGTTTATTAAGTGACTTCAGTTAAAAGTCTTTTCTATCTTTTCCATGGTGTTTATTAAGTAACTTCAGTTAAAAGTCTTTTCTATCTTTTCCATGGTGTTTTTTAAGTGACTTCAGTTAAAAGTCCTGGCTACCTTTTTCCATGGTGTCATGAACTTTAACCATTTTAGACCTAGAAAAGCTTCTCTTTAATTCTTTTTTTTTTTTCTGTTTATTGTCTAAAAGTTAATCGTCTGGTTCAAAATGTTAAAAATAATAACATTATGGGACACACACAAACTAGTTCAAGTAACAAGTGGGGCATAATTTATTCATGTTACAGCAGGCAAGGCACAAAAAAGCTGATGAAAACATAAAATGTAAATCTTCTTTTTCAGCACTCTAAGTCCTTGAGGTTTATTGCTGCAGATATCAGTTGGTGACTGTAAGTGTCTGTAGGTCTTCTTGATATGTCATGATCTATGGCTGTTCAACTCACTTGTGTAGACAATTTTTGTCATTTGCCATTCTCTCAGTATGCCCCAGCTATTTCAGTCTATTGTTTGTTTGTTTTGTTTGTTTTAGTATCCAGAAGCCTTGAGTTGTTAACCCTTAGGCTCGGTATTGTGGATATTGCAACCTTTCGGCCTTGATTCCATTGTAAATACCGTAAATCTGGAAGAAATGTGGCTTTTTTGCCTACCCCCGGGAGTGAACCCGGACCACAAGGAGTTCGTCACCCGGTCACCGAGCAATCCGGTTTAGCCAACTACACTAGAGAGCCGGGCATTTCAGTCTATAAGTCTTAATGATGCCAGTGATCAACAATGATTTAAACGGATCATAACTGTTGTTTATTCTTCTTCATTCCCTTCTGTTTGTATCTTTTATAGGTCTAAAGATTAATCTTAAGATTCTGTTAAATAAAATTTCTAATAAGGTTTCATTTCTTTTAAATGTACTCCAAGTATCAGAGCCAGACAAGACAACAAGTCTTGTAAGCATTTTAAATATTGTGGTTTTCATTTTACAAGATGGAGCATTTGTTTTCAGCAGATATTACAGGGCACAGTATACATTATTTCCAAATTGTATTCTAGATTGTATTTCTTAACTTGGTGTTTTGAGACAGTTATCTTGTAATGGAGCTTTCGTAAAAATTTGGTGAACTGATTCATACTGAATAAGTTTATATGTAGCTTTGTCCCAGGGCATGCAGGTGTTGTTGGGAATGAGAGAACTGATGGACTGAGAAGCTACACCTTCATTGCAGATGCCTGTCCCATGGATCACGCTGACATTGTTAATGTCCTTTGAGAGATAGGATGATTGGTGGATTTTAAGAGCTGCCACGTCCACACCACAACTAAGAATGTAAGAACTTGTGGTTAAGATGGGTACATCCAGATATGAGAGGCACACCAGAGATACAGTAAGTCTTGTTAATCAACGTAAGACTGGCACTATTACCTGTGGGACGGGATCTACATGTTGAAGGAGAAATGTGAGCAGCTGTAGACATGTCAGGAGTGCTGTAAAGATAACCTATATCATATCTCATATCCAACTATCTAGTCTAGGGAGCCAAAGTTTTTCTCTCCTAAATTTCAAATTTTACCTTGACTCCCAGGTCAACCCAGCCCAAAATTGGTGCCAGGTAATGTCATGGGAAGTAAAGATGGCCTGTGTAATGTAGACCACATCACACACCAAATGCTCATTGGTCTACAAAAATATGAGTCCAGCATCTTATGCCTGATTGCATCTCTAGGGTAAAGAGCAGCCTTTACTTTATAAACAAAATAATCTTTTCTACTGAACAACTTAATTATTTAGCCAGCATCATGCAATCATCGTCTGCATTAACACTTCACTTACCAATATTAGGAAGGGAAAACACAACTAGGAAAATCAAAGCCCAGAAATTACTAAACAGAGTCAAGACACCATTCGCAGAGCCTTCACTGGTGGGGTAAGCAAGTTCACAGCCAAGCTCAAAGAACAGTGGTACAGCGATGTTGAGTGTCGTACTTGCTGCAACTACAGTCACGTACAAGCCAACTGCAAAAAAATTGTGATATGGGTATCCCAAATAAATTCACAATAAAATAAGCTAATAATTGTTCTTCTTCTTCTTCTTTCGTTCGCAAGAAATAAATTGTCTATATCTAATAATTGTGACTGGAGGCATGCAATATTGAGGAAAATACACCAGTGGTTTCTCTTTGCTTTCTAACTACTGACAAGAGCCTGTCTTTCAAATGGAATGTAGAAGAGTTAGTACAAATTAAGGAAAGGACATAATGTAGGGAAGAAGAAGGCATCAGCAGACATGCTCTATATACTCCACCATACATGGTCTGCCTGAAAGAAACTCAGTCTGTCACCAGCTTTCCTGCCTCATGTACTTTCATACTCAAGGTGTCACTTATATCCTGTGCCCATCTTCGTGTCGGTCGGCCCTGCCCCTCCTTCCTGGAACTATGCCTTCTACTATAATTTTTTTCCATTTCGTCGTGGAGTTCTACCAGCAACTGATCATTTCAGCAAGGGAGTATGGTTTTTAGGACTGCTAACATTATCTCACACTCGAACAGACAAACTGGAACACATACAAAATGAAGTCATGCTAGTAATTTTGGGATGTACACAGGCAAAACCAATAATATGCATGCAGCACATACTTACTTTGCCATTTATAAATGAAAGATAGAAGTGAAGATGTTACAGGCTAAAATGTACCAGCAATGGACAGGAGTCATTTTCTACATGAGGACAGGAGATAGCAAGGGACATCAGCTGAAAAAACAGCTCTCGGATGGTACAAGCAGAAGTCACTATAAGAAATGTTTGTAATCGAAATTCAAGTCCAGGTGACATCATTATTTACACAAATGGATCTGTAGTGAGATTTAAGAAGAGTTTTATTGCAAAAATAAATGGATATTGTTTTAAAACAGAGAGCCTTTGTGTATACCCTTACAACATCCAGTGTGGGAATGGAAGTGCAGCATAACAGGTGCTTTTTAATGACTTGAAAGCAGCAGAGCCCAATACGTTGTAATTGTAATGGACTCACAGAGCCTGCTTCAGAAATTAAAACTTGTGTCCTGTGCTTAGAATGGCTTGCATCACTTGATAAGAGATCAGAAGCATAGTATGTATTTTCTGACCAAAAGATTCATTCAAACTAGCAAGACCTGCCCCCATTAAGTCTTCCACAATCACAGTGTGGGATTTCAGGACCACCGTTATCAACATTTTGTGTTTAGCTGTTTAGCGTGTTCTTCTCAGAATCTCAGCTCTCATCCTTTCTGTAATTATTTCTTCTTTCATTCTCATTCCCTTCCTGATGTGCCCCCTACACGCAACAGGTCTATGGCATTTTGCTCCCACGAGTCTACCTCAGTACAAGGCACCAAAGAGGATGTCCTTATGCCTGATGCACACTGGTATTTCTTCTTCTTCTTCTTCTTGTTCACCGGCTGTGAATTCCGGCGGTAAGTCGCGGTTGTTCGTCCAAAATGGACTTTTGGCTTTTACCTTGACCTGAGTTTTGCGTGTACATCCGTTTTACTGGCTTATTTGTTTGCAGTACTCGTTCCCCGCCTCTCCGGCAGATGTACTCCGACTTCGGAGGAACGCACACTGGTTTAAAAAGTATTCTTCATGTTACATCCGAGATCTGTTAAAATCTGTTTTAAAATCTTTAAAATTATAACAAAATCATAGAAAAAGCACTGAAACCTTACAGGGACACACAATCAGACTGTTTCTAGTACCTTTCGAATTGAAACTCTGACCTGACTCAAGAAGATGGTGACAGAGCCCTTATGGGGAGGCCCCAAGTGCTGTGACGTTAGAAGAAGAAAAAGAAAAATGAGAGGAAATTGTTAACAGCTAAATCAAGTGCTACTGTTTATATAACTGTATTATTTACTATCAATGGTTTGAATTGTCAGCTTTTGGAGGTGTAGAAGTATTGACCTACCTGTAGAGGGAGGGATAATCTTCATCAGCATCAGGGTGAACACTGTTAGAGCTGCTGTGGTCAAGGCATAGGTAATGAGTATAAACACCTTGATGGAACGCACAAAGGGGCCAGCAAATCTGCAAGAATGGAAACTGATGACATACTTTGTGCTGTAGAATACTTCTTCTCTTCTTCTTCTTCCTTCTTGATATATTCACTTCCTACAATTACCTCATCGACATACCGTGTATTAATGTCTGGATCTTTAGTATGCAGTTTGTTATGTTGATCATTATGTGGAATGCTGTCTGGCAAAACAGACTCACAAATAAGGGAACAAATATGTTGAATCAAGAATCAACATCACAGCACTCGGGACACTCCCATAGGTGCTCCATCCCATCTTCAGCAGCAAGCGAAGAGTTTCAATTCCGATGGCACCAGTAACCGTCTGATTTTATATCCGTCTCATCTTTCCCCTGAGTGTTGAGCATCGGCCAGATCCCCTGGTAACTCCTCGCAGCGCCATTCTCCTTAGACCGTAATGATCTGTCTGTGCCTCTGCATCCGCCATGTTTACTCGTTCCCAAAGGGCCCTCACAATTTCTAGCTTGTCATGCATCAATTCACCACCAAGTGATGCAGAGATGGCCAATCTATCTGTTTGCTCATTTCTCAACACACCAGCATCACCTGGAGAAAATATCTAAAGGATGCTAACTACCCGGGACCTCTGAAGTGATGCTTGCCACTCTACACAAAGCACTCCTGTCTTCACCTTTCTCAACATGCTCTGTTAGTAGTTACAATCACGGCATGTGTGCACAGCTGATTCTCAAGCCAAGGGAAGGCAGCAGAGACTGCCTCCACCTCCATTCTCAAACTAGACATTGTGATATTGTATGCAAGGCACTAAGCGACGTCATTAGCCTTTGCTATGAATTCCTATGCACTTTGTCTGCCCCTCAACACAGAGCCATCTGTATAGATAATCACATCACTTGGGCGGGAATTGTCATGAATCATTTATTGAACTGCACCAGCTGGCCAGTCTCTGCACTCACGACCTAAGAGAGCATTGAGTCCTTATGGGCATTTCACCCCAACTGCCTCCACGTGATCCCTATAGGACAGGCTTCTATCGAAAGTGATACCTAGGTGCCTCAGTTTGCTTTCTCTTTTGATGTTACTGTTATTAATTATAAGGCTTGGAACATTAGCTCTTAAAATTCTACCGTCCAGAGAGCACCACAAAATAGCCGCCTTTGCTGAACTGATGACAACTCCCATTTTCTGCACACCAGTCAGTCACTTTGTCTACAGCTGCCTGGAGCTCTTGGGCTATCTGTAGCTTATCACTCCCTTGCCTTTATGGGAACAAATATGCCACAAACTTTATCGTATGAGGATCTGACAAAAATAATCATCAGGGAGGTAGAAAATAAAAATTAGCAGTAGAGAGCTCTCCCAGTCCTTAAGAAAGAGAACAGGGGCTTTTGAGCTGAAATGCTACAGAAAGATTCTGAGAATATCTTGGACAAAGAATAGGAGAATACTGACATCTCGAAAGATCTTAACATCAAGAAAGATTGGCTAAAAAACAACATCCTGTCTCGGAAGCTGAAATATTTTTGTCATATCAAGCGCCACGACGGATTGGAACAAATTATAGCATAAGGCATGGTACCAGGAAGGAGGGACAGGGGCCGACCGACACGAAGATGGGCACAGGATATAAGTGACTCCTTGAGTATGAAAGTACATGAGGCGGGAGAGCTGGCAAGAGAACGAGTTTCTTTCAGGCAGACCGAGATGAGAGTGATGTTCTCCAAAGCAAAGGACCTGCTACATGATGATGATGATGAGTAGAGAGCTACAGAAAGACTAAGAAAGATGTGCATGGAAAGCCTAAACAGCAAGTAAGATAAAACGACCTTTTTCCCATGCCTTCAGGCATGTTGCGCTTATAGGGCTAGATCTATATTTTATAGATCAATCGACACTGTGCATAATGTGGTCAGCATCACTCTGGTCACTTTTACTTCCCCGGACTTTACCTGGTACCCATTTAGGTTGTGTCAACCTGGCAGCCAAGGTCATTTAAAACAAAAAGTCTGGTTCTGTTAGGACTTGAACCCATGACCTTTATATCCGCAGGTAAGCTCTCTCTCTAAACAGCTAGGCAGCAAATAATAAAGTAAAAGCCCTTTTTTACACCAGGGGTGCACCAGGCATATGATTTAAATTTTCAGAGACCAATAGGCACTTAGTGACTGATGTAGCAAACATCACTCTGGCTGCCTTTATTTGCCAGGAAGTGCCTACTACAGTCGAGTCCACTTAAGTGGAACTCAGATAATTCGAATTTCAGTTAAGTCGACATGACCAGCTTAGTCTGGGCAATTTTCTCTATTGTGTGTGTTGTTGTCTGGAAAAGTAGAAATCCTGATGTGGAAGCATTTTCTTAGGTCCCTGCGACTTCTACTTTTCCAGACTCGACTAAAAATATTTTAGACTGGATCAACCTGGCAGTCGAGGTCAATTCTGAAAATATCCACCTGTAGGAAGATCTGAACCCTGGACCTTTGGGTTGGCAGTTGAGTGCCAAGCCACTGCTTTACTGCAGCTCAAACCACTGACAGTAAATTAAAACAGAAATTTTATTTCAACACACAGACTAATCAAGAATAAAAGGTAGCAACAGCTTAGTATTCTATTGTTAGTGGAACTCATTTTATTTTACTGAATAAACTTTTGCACGCAGGACTGTAGGGCATGCATGGGTAGCACCTGATTTAGCTGTTAAATGTGTCCTCATTCTTTTTATTCTTCTTATTTCTGACGTCACAGCACTTGTTATATACCCATAAGTGCTCTGTCCTCATCTTCAGGAACCAGCTCAGAGTTCCATTCTGAATAGTATCTGTAGCAGTCTCATTGTATGTGCCTCTTGCCTTTCCCCTGTATTGATCGTCAGCTAGATCCACTGGTCCCCACCCTTCTGTTAGGACAATAAGGTATATCTATGCCTACACACAGCTCACTTGCTCCAAAAAAGCCCTGATAACATCCAGCTTATAATGTGTCCGTTCACCACCAAGTGGTGCAGAACCAGTCCACCTGTCTGCCTGTTTATTATTCCACATTCCACCTGCATACCTGGAGAAAATTTACAAGGGTGCAAACTACCCTGGACATCTGAAGCGATGCTTGCCACTCTACACAGAGCAAACTTATGTCCACCTTTCTCTTCCTGCTGTATGAGTTTGTTACAATTATGACTGGTGTCTACAGCTAGCTCCTAACACTTTAGAAACTGTATGGGCTCAGATTTTTACTTTTGCACATGACAGAAACAATTTCCATAACCTTATAAACATTGTTAATCTGGGTATACCAAAGCAGTCTCCACCCTTCTAACCACTGGGCCAGCAGCTCCCCAGCAACTATTAATTAAATTCACAAACACATGTATTAACTAAAGATATGATACCTCCCAATAAGCAAGGAGCCGACACATCCCGCCAGAGTAGAATAAAATCCCATCAATCCAGCCGTCTCCTAAATTGTAACAGATAAAAACAGCATGAGAAAATGTTTTTATTTTTGTGCACATAGCAAAACAATATTTATCATGAACTAAACAGTTAGCCATGTACCATTTCTTTGCTTTCTTTAGTTAATGATTAGACAAAGATTTAAATTGAAACCAGTACAACAATTCATTAAAGAGCAACAGATGGGATGGTTTGGCCAACTGATGAGAATGCCTTGGTTCCAACTGCTACAAACAGCCATGCTCGAAGAATGTAATCAACAAAGAGCTAAGGAGAAGACCATGCAAGACATGAAAAAATGGCATCATGAACAGCTTTAACGAAATGAAGATAAACACATTAAAACATAGACCTGGAAGATATTTACCACCACCACCATTATAACCAAAACCACCACCGCCGCTCCCACCACCAAAACCAACTGTCAACAGCCTGATGAGGTAGCTGGAGAAAGAGAAGAAAAAGATCTCTTTGTTCGGGTGAGACATTTCAACCATTTTTACCTTGATTTTATAGGTCAGTTAAATATTTCTTCTTATTTTGTTCAACTGCCTTGGTCACATCTGCAGTAGTTTTCAAATAAATAATATCATGTCCTCCCCAAATGGGTTCGAGGACCCCATTGGGTGGGGGGGGGGGATAAACCCACTACCCCCACCCCCAACAAGCATGTCACAAAAGGCAACTAATCAAAGATGTTTCCCTCAAAGTCAGGGGGCATTTTCTTGAGAGGTAAGGAACCAACATTCTTCATGCATATAATCCCTATATGTAAAAGTGCACACAAGTTCTGGAACATGACCAAAGTCCAGAAGTGGATGAACAACCAGAAGGTTCTGGCTGTAAAGCCTATGAATGTGATGAAGAAGAGGATATCCTGTTCAACCTTCTGAGTCATAACTAGGATATACAGTTGCTAAGTAACAATGTAAGCGCAATAGAAGTATTCATAACAACAATAAATGCTAGGGTTGGTTTAACACCTTAAAGAAGACAACAGAGTAACTTCCAACAGCTGAGATATTTCACTCACTAACAGAGACAGAGTTACTTCCAACAGCTGAGATATTTCACTCACTAACAGACACAGAGTAACTTCCATCAGCTGAGATATTTCACTCACTAACAGACACAGAGTAACTTCCAACAGCTGAGATATTTCACTTACTAACAGACACAGAGTAACTTCCAACAGCTGAGATATTTCACTCACTAACAGACACAGACTACCTTCCAACAGCTGAGATATTTCACTCACTAACAGACACAGAGTAACTTCCAACAGCTGAGATATTTCACTCACTAACAGACACGGAGTAACTTCCAACAGCTGAGATATTTCACTCACTAACAGACACGGAGTAACTTCCAACAGCTGAGATATTTCACTCACTAACAGACACAGAGTAACTTCCAACAGCTGAGATATTTCACTCACTAACAGACACGGAGTAACTTCCATCAGCTCAGATATTTCACTCACTAACAGACACGGAGTAACTTCTAACAGCTGAGATATTTCACTCACTAACAGACACAGACTACCTTCCAACAGCTGAGATATCTCACTCACTAACAGACACAGACTACCTTCCAACAGCTGAGATATTTCACTCACTAACAGACACAGAGTAACTTCCAACAGCTGAGATATTTCACTCACTAACAGACACGGAGTAACTTCCATCAGCTGAGATATTTCACTCACTAACAGACACAGAGTAACTTCCAACAGCTGAGATATTTCACTCACTAACAGACACGGAGTAACTTCCATCAGCTGAGATATTTCACTCACTAACAGACACAGACTACCTTCCAACAGCTGAGATATTTCACTCACTAACAGACACAGAGTAACTTCCAACAGCTGAGATATTTCACTCACTAACAGACACAGAGTAACTTCCAACAGCTGAGATATTTCACTCACTAACAGACACAGAGTAACTTCCAACAGCTGAGATATTTCACTCACTAACAGACACAGAGTAACTTCCAACAGCTGAGATAACTCACCTCACTAACAGACACAGAGTAACTTCCAACAGCTGAGATATTTCACTCACTAACAGACACAGACTACCTTCCAACAGCTGAGATATTTCACTCACTAACAGACACAGAGTAACTTCCAACAGCTGAGATATTTCACTCACTAACAGACACAGAGTAACTTCTAACAGCTGAGATAACTCACCTCACTAACAGAGACAGTGCTGAGGTTTATGTGGAGTACACTGATCCAACCACCAAACATTCCACTAGAGACACCAAACATCTGGGTGATGACGATGAAATGACCTTTCCTGTTTCAGAGGGAAAAAAACAATGAAATAATATTTCCTGTTTGGGAATAAAGATATAAAGGAATAACTGTTTGGGAGGAAATAATACTTTCTGTGTTCAGAATGAAGAGACAACAAAATTTCTTTTTTTTTTTTCATTCTTTCTTTTCTGCAGTTGTTGTTTTGTTTGGGATGGAAGAGAATGAAATAACCTTTATATTTGGGAGGAAAGATAAGGAAACAAATAACCTTTTTTGTTGGGGAAGAAAGATACAATAAATGAAATAACCTTTCTGGCTTGGAAAAGAAAAGGCACATTTTTGGTAATATAGACATTAAGCAGACTAGCAGAGAAATCATATTATATTGTAGAGTGCAAAAGAGTTAAACAGGCATATGAGTTTAAATATCTAGTAACAACATTCACTGAAGATGAGAAAATGGATGAGGAAATTAACATCAGATGCAGTAAAGCAAACCAAGTATTGCAACAGTTAGTTCCCCCCCCCCTTTCCCCCCCCCCCCCCTCTTTTACAGCATAAGACAATCCCTATCAGCAAAAAGAAACATGTCATACAGAGCATATCTATTCCCACTCTATGCTACCAGTGCCAGACATGGTAACTCACAATAAACCAGAATAGAACATTAGTACATTAGTAACCATGGAAATGAGATGACTGGAGAGGTGACTAGAAGCAATAAAATCAGGAAAGAGATCATAAGAGAAAAACCTGGCACAGAACCAGTTCTAAATTATATACAAAGACAGCGAATCGAATAGTTTGCCGACTAAGAAAGAATGCCTTGCGATGCTATCCCACACACCAAAAGAGAAGAAGGACTTATAACACAGGGTAGACCAAGAACAATATGGAAAGATAACATCAGAGAAACTCTACAACAGTATGATGTGTCTAGGGTTGACGCAACCAGAAGAGCAAAAGCAGAACATTACATCTCCCTTGACACCTGAAGCTGCAGAAGATGAAGTGAAGATGAAGCTGAGAAATCACTAATGACAGTGATCATTTGGTTTCTTAGAAAAATAGCAGTTTAAATCTACCATGGTAAAACCCACAACACCTTTTTCTTTCTTCTGTGTTAGCCTTTAAAAGGACAGTTGGCAGTCTGTGTTATGTTTTACGGCTAGGTTGTAAAATCTGTGCCATTTGGCCCAACCATTAGAACTTCAGCAAAACCCTAATTAATCACCTTTTAGAACACACTTTTTCAGATATTTTAGTCCCAAGAGGTTTTCCACAAAAAGTAGTTAATTTTTATCAGTGTAAACACTTTTAAAAAGCAAACCAATGCTGTAGTGAAATAAAGCATAGAAGTTGCTACAGAGGACACCGAGTTGCTTTAGTAAAATCAGGAAACAAGCAGAGGGAAAAGTACCATAAATCTATGTTTGCTTTTAAAAAAAAAAAGCAGCACCTGATCACACGTCACATGTTCCTTGTGCTTAAGTTTTCAGAGGCCATGAGTCTGTTCTACTATTTCCCTCTCCTGAAATGGAGCCCAACAACTAACATGGGATCAGCTCTTATGGAAATACAGTACTATATTTGTCTTGTGTATTATGCCTTTTAAAAAAAACTGCATTGCTTTTCTTTATCAGCATATTGATTTAATTCAGCAGTTAAATTTTGACAAAAAAACAATAAAATATTGATTTTTTTTAAGAATCGATATCACAGCACACTAGTCAGACTGTCAGATATCTCTTAAGTAACTATAAGATGTAGATACAAAAATTGTTCAGTAGCACACTAGTTGTAACTTTTCACATGTTCACCCTTGCCAGACCCATACGTAAGTCCCCTTTCACACATCCATTTATAGACGACTGCATTTAACACTGTGCCTTACTGGGCTAAGACATAGACAGCACGCTACAATGTCATCCTATTACAAGAAAAAGACATTGCCACTACATTTATAGTAGAACTCAAGATTAGATTTCAAAATATCAGGTGACCCAGACACTCCAACTACAATCAGAATTTGAGACAGATGGAACCAGATGAAAGAAACAAAAAAACAACCAGCAACAACATATTAGGAACCAGGAAACAACACCATAAAGAATGGATAAGTAGTTAAAGCATGGAAAGAAGAAAAAAGAACCTCATAAATCACACTAAATCAGAACATCAGAAAGACAAACTAATGTTAGAAAATAGCAAACTAAATAAAATGGCAAAGAAAGTGCCAAACTGACAAGAGGAGATTTATGGAAAATCTAACAGAAACAGCAGAAAATGCTGCTAAAGTACATGATCTACAAACCCTACACAAAATTAACCAACAAATTTGCGGAAGCAGAAACAATTACCACAGCATAACCATCAGAGATTACCAAGGCACATTGCCTACCACAGAATACAAACAAAACATGCAGTGGACTAAACACTTCTCTAACCTCTTGAATAGACGTGATCCTGAACATCCCTCAGATTTTCGACCAGCCTCTCAGCACCTTGACATTATTATTAAACCAACAAGCAGACAAGAAATCTTCAAAGCTATCCACACTTGAAAGAACAACATCATCAGGCAAAGACTAACTGCCGGCAGAACTTTTCAAAGTATATTCCAACACAACTGCTAGCATTCTAGAACAAGGATATTTAGGAAAAAAAAGTACGCCTGATGACCGGACTGAAGGAACAATATTATAAATCCCCCAAAAAAGAAATTTAACAGACTGCACTAATTGGAGGGGAATTACTCTACTCTCTGTACCAAACTATATCTTTTATTTGTAAAATTATCATAATGAGGCTCGTAAAGGGAGCAGATAAATGCCTACGAGTAGAACAAGCAGGATTCAGAAAGGGCTGAGGAACAGGTGAGCACATCTTCACCATAAGTAATGTTTTAGAACAATGCAATAAAAAGCAGAGAAGTATATAAATTAATTTTGCCATGGACTGCGAGTCCCGTGCCTCCTCATAGCGCAATATAACACTATCATCTGGAAAGATGTAAAGGCCAATCAAACTGTGAAATTTATATTTTTTAGTGGCTTACTACAATAATCACAAGTAGAAAATGCTGTACTGAATAAAATCACAAATGATTTACTTTCTCAATGACCAGATGTCTGCCCAGTAATGTTGGCGCTCTACAGTGGCTGACAAACTTGGAGGTAGTCGTGGCTTCGAAGGAAAGTAGCACAGGATCACCACAAACAGAAAACATGACCAGCCACAGACTGTGAACACAATTATTGCAATTTAAAAGAACAAAAAAGAAAGTGTCAATGCTGCAGGGATCTTCTTCTCCATGTTCATCAGCTGTAAACTTGGAGTAAAGTTCTGGGTGTTCATCTGGTACTCTACAGGGGGTATTTATTCCCCCAGCCGACATGTGTAGTCATTCTGCTGAGTAACAACCGACCTGGCTGCTTCAAGATACCAGCTTAGTGATTTGGTGTATTTGTGTAGTATTGTTATCAGGAGTAAGACAAGTTTGTGTATTATCACCTTTACTTTTCATAATATTTATGGACAATATTAATAAAATAGACATAACACCAACAGATGTCGATAAACAGGAGGACTTCAATGAGCTGCTCTTTGCCGACGATCAATGCATATTTCACAGTGATAGTAAACAGCTGCAAGACCACATAAACCTACTACACGACAGTTGCCTCAAGCATCATTTGAAGATCAATACTGAAAAGACAGAAGTCATGAGCATAAGTAGAGAGCAACAGACTATCGACATAAAGATTCTAGATCACAGCCTAAAACAAGTGCAAGAATTTAAATACTTGGGAAGTATCTTTACATTCAATGGTAAAATAGACAGAGAGATCGAAGCAAAAACCAACAAGCCAACAATGTCGCATACCAGCTTGCCCCAATTTTAAAACACCCTGCTGTCCCAGCTGAGATAAAAAGACAAATTATAAATACAATCTTTATACCGACATTAGGTTATCAATGTCAGACTTGGACATTAACAAAAGAACACGAGAGAAGACTTATCACCTGTGAAATGAGATGTTTGAGAATGGCTGCGAATAAAACCAGAAGAGATCGAGTGAGAAACGATGTGATTACAAGAACTATTGTAACCATACCCATCGTTAAATTTATTTAGAAGCAAAGAATGAAATGGAAGCGACTGAGCGCGCCCTGGCTCGGTTGCCGATCATCTGATAGACTGCGACGCCTAGCGGCACAAGCAGATTTTGACAAAAGAAGAAGAAGTGTAGTATTGTTTGATTTTTATGTGCTGATGAAGGCTCCATAGCCGCAACGTTCACGTTTTGTTTGTATTTGTTATATTGTGAAGCTTGCTAATATAATTTTTGTTCAGTTTTATATCTTTTCTTCATCCACCTCTAGACTTAAGTCTTGCTCCAGAGCCTCAGTGTTATGTGCATATTTATTTCACAGATCTGGCTTATTTGTATATAGACTTGTATTACGTATTTGTATGTTCCTTGCCTCTCAGGCAGATGTACTTTGACTTTGAAGGATGTTCCCAGTTAGTTGAGTCCTGCGACGTGCTCGTTGGGGAGGCCGTGGATCTGTTCTTGTTTTCCCCACAATGGGGCCCCGGAACCCACGTGGGGATTTGTAAGAATGAACTCTTTCAGTCCTAACTAAAATAAAATGTTTTGAATAACTCTTCCCCCTTGAGTCTTAACCTTCCCACATGGATTCTGGGGCCCCTTTGTGAAGAAAATAAGAATGGACCAACTGTCTACCAAACATGCATGTCGTAGGAGTTGACTACTTGGTGGCATTCCTCAAAGCCAGAGGAATCTGCTTGAGAGGCAAGGAACCAAGCACCTGCATACATATAAGTCAGAGTGTGAAATCAATGTGTACACAACATTCAGGTTCTAGAACAAAACTAAAATCTAGATGTCGACGAACACCCAGAACTTTGCTCTGGAGTTTACAGCCACTGAAAGTGGAGAGGAAGAAGAAATGTTTTGTATGCATTGTTTACGACCATTTTTAAAGTTAAAAACATTAAAAATTGTTATAGTAATTGTTCCCTGGTTACTAACTGCTGAGAAATCTGAAACTGAAAGTGTTAAATAACACCTGTTACATTTTAAAGCTCGTAAAAAATAATAAGATTTAGAATAAATAACTCCTTTTTACTAGTGGGGCTTCCCGTATATGATGCCAGACTCATATTTTACACACTAATCAACTCTCAGGGGTGATGAGGTCAAAATCATGCCAGCTGCATTTACTTTCCAGGATATTTCCAGGTACCCATTTTAGGGTGGGCTGACCTGGCAGACAAGATCAATTAAAAACATAACCTGACTGTATGCAAATTCAAATAGAAGATAACTTTAAAGCAGCGTGATTTTAACAGATATTACAATTGCAGCATGGCATGAATGGTATAATAGTCTTCTTCTTCTTCTTTCTAGCATTCATTGGTTGTAATCTACAGTGGAAAAGTTCTTGTTGTTTGTCCACATATGGACTCTGGTCTTGTTGCAGTACTTGAGTTTTGAGTGTACATCTATTTTCAAGAGCCGGGTTAGCTGTATACAGAATTTTGGTGCCTTCGCCCATCAGGCAAATGCACTCTAAATTCAACAGAAACACCTGTAAGTGATTGCTATTTATATCATGCTTGTTTTTGGATGGTGGGGCGGGGGGGTTACTGTGGTCTACCCTCCTCCCTCCAATCCCAAATGGGGCTCTGGAACTTAGACAGGGAGATATAATAGTAATAACAACAGCAGTGTGCATAATACATACCATAATACATATACATCATGATTTTTTCTCTTTCCATTAACTTGGTAGAAACTGCAAATTACAATAAACAGAAACATGCCGTTAAAAACAACAAACAGGAAAAGGGACATAATTACAAAGAAAAAGCAAACAGGAAGAGTGACATTCAGCAAACAGGAAGAGTAACAAACAACAAACAAGAAGAGTGGCATACAGTCAAAAGGAAGAGGTACATACAACAAACAGGAAGCGTGACATAATTACAGCAAACAGGAAATTCAGGGAAAATTGACTAAAAAGCTTAACAAAATGGGGAAGCAGAAAACGTGCACAAAACAGCACAAATAACATTTCGGCCAGGCAGCCTTTGTCAAACACCAATGATAATAATTACCAGCAGTGCTATGAAATGCAGCATCAACCTTGTTGTCATTCTTGGATCCACAAGCTATCACCACCTCTGTGCCCATGGCCGCCAGCTAACCCACACACCAGGGCTGGCAGTAAGAATGGACACTTTCTATTGCTCATACTCAGCTTTGCCATGAATAATAGGTTATTTTTCACAAGTATATGCACCTTGAAGCGATTAGAGACTTCCACTAACTCCTAAGTCTCATCGATGCTCACATTCACCAGTCAGAGCAATCATGAGGAATTCTACACAATGAACTGGCTAGAAACTACTATCCCAAGTCCCTTCAATTCACAATCAATAGCCATACACCAACAAGATACGATCACGTCCCTGTATATAGAATGATTGCCTGCTCAACTAGAGAAAGACTCCACATTTTTTCCCAGCAAGGCAATCTCCTCTCGACTCCTTCTCAACCACTGATCCTTGAGACTTACCCAAGTATATTCTCTGAGTTTGCTCCCCGTGCATTCTCAGATACATGAGAAGCATGCCAGTTATTCTCGTGATTCAACTCAATTCACGCAGACCTCTGTACACCAGGTTTCATCTACAAATTCTTGGTCTGAATAATGACTCCAGCATTTTTAACGCTTTATAAATTTACTGGCCAACATGCCTGTTCCAGTTTACACAGATTCTACACACAACAGATGGTAAACATACTTGTTGTGTTGTCCAGCTCCTGGGTACTTGATTCAACATACAAATTTTGAAATCTAAAAACAACATAAAAAGACAATTGTTACACCGATAAAAAACAAGTAAACACACAAATGCTTAAGGCCAAAGCCAGTACTGCCATCATGCTTAACAGAATGAACAAACAAATGAACAAACTTCACTTCCAAAGTCACAAATTAGACACGCAGGGCCGTTTTACATTCAGCCATTTTAAACACTCATCTGTCATGTGATAACTGTATTCTATAGAACCTTTTTCAATGCCTCCAGGTATACTGGGCATGTAGGGCTAGACCTATTTTTTAGAGACCAACTGGCACTCAGTGGGAACTGTGGTCAAGATAAATCCAGCTGCCTTTACTTCCCAGGACTCCGCCTGTTACCCATTTAAGGCTGGGTCGATCTTGGAGCCAAGGTATTTTTTAACAATGTCTAGCTAGGTCAAGATCTGAATCTATATAACATCCTGATCTATAGGCAAACATCTAGTCGCTACACCATGGCGACTCCCAATTGTATTTTATATATCGAGCATATCATGTTCATATATTAAAAATCATAGTGTGAATATAAAGAAAAAATACAAGGAATGGATGGCAAATGCATTAAAATCTACATCCAGAAATAAACACACAGACACACATTAGGCAGACACATTGTGAGGAAGATATACAGACACAAACAGACACACATTAGGCAGACACATTGTGAGGAAGATATACAGACACAAACATAGGCACATTTGAACAAACGCACACACATGGAAGTACACATACTGACAACATACACACTGACACAACATACACACACTCTCACAGACACAAAACAAACACACACATTGAAGTGTACACACTGACAACATACACACTGACACAACATACACACTGACACAACATACACACTGACACAACATACACACTGACACAACATACACACACTCTCACAGACACAAAACAAACACACACATTGAAGTGTACACACTGACAACATACACACCGACACAACATACACACACTCTCACAGACACAAAACAAACACACACATTGAAGTGTACACACTGACAACATACACACTGACACAACATACACACACTCTCACAGGCACAAAACAAACACACACATTGAAGTGTACACACTGACAACAAACACACCGACACACGACACAACATACACACACTCTCACAGACACAAAACACACACATTGAAGTGTACACACTGACAACATACACACTGACACAACATACACACACTCTCACAGACACAAAACAAACACACACATTGAAGTGTACACACTGACAACATACACACTGGAACAACATACACACACTCTCACAGACACAAAACAAACACACACATTGAAGTGTACACACTGACAACATACACACTGACACAACATACACACACTCTCACAGACACAAAACAAACACACACATTGAAGTGTACACACTGACAACATACACACCGACACAACATACACCCACTCTCACAGACACAAAACAACACACACATGGAAGTGTACACACTGACAACATACACACCGACACAACATACACACACTCTCACAGACACAAAACAAACACACACATTGAAGTGTACACACTGACAACATACACACCGACACAACATACACACACTCTCACAGACACAAAACAAACACACACATTGAAGTGTACACACTGACAACATACACACCGACACAACATACACACACTCTCACAGACACAAAACAAACACACACATTGAAGTGTACACACTGACAACATACACACCCACACAACATACACACACTCTCACAGACACAAAACAAACACACACATTGAAGTGTACACACTGACAATATACACACACATTGAAGTGTACACACTGACAACATACACACCGACACAACATACACACCGACACAACATACACACCGACACAATATACACACTGACACAACATACACACCAACACAACATACACACCGATACAACATACACACCGACACAACATACACACGCATACACACACACTGTCTCAGACAAATAGGGAGATGATTTCAAACAACAGATAGTGCTGCCTCCTCTGCTCAGTATGGTTACACCTCTCCCTAGAAAGATAATGGTTTCCAGGCTGACCCAACCAGGTAAAGTTGTGGGAAGTAAAGGTGGCTGGTGTAACATTGATGACATTCCCCACCAAGTGCTGACTGGTCCATAAAATATATACTTTGCCCTACATGCTCAGTATGCTTGAAGACGTGAAGAAGGGTCCCTTACTTAAAAATATAATGACTGGTGCTCTAAAAAAAATCATTAACAATCAGAGGATGAAACAAATCTAAGATTATGCAGATGATATCGATGGGCTGGCCTGTATAAAAAAACAAGAACTTGCTGAACTCACAGACTTATCTGTTGAAACATCTACTGGTATGGCATGGAAATAAATGCAGACAAGACTAAAATAATGACAAATAATCTAGCTGGTATAGATACACCAATACATGTTAAAGGTCACAAACAAGAACACTTGTCAGAACCTTTACTTACAGCTGTGAAACATGAACCTTAACCTCTGAACTTGAAAGACAAATACAAACTCTGGAAATTAGATGTTTTCTTTTTCAAAGATCCTTGGTGTAAACAACAAGACTGGACAAAAACTAAACATACAAAAACTATCTGATAGAGACAATTAATCTGCAAGAAATACAATAGAAACTTTTTTAATTATCAAAAACTACTCAGTAAATGGGAGTCTCCATGGGGTTGGCAGCTAGACAACCGTCTGGGGATCAAAATGTCTGGGTTCGCATCCTGATGGAGATAGACTTTTTTTTTTTTTTTATGACCTTGACTCCTGGGTCGATCCAGCCTTGAGTGGGTACCAGGTGCAGTCCTGGGAAGCAAAAGGTGGCCGACGTGATGCTGACCATATCAGCCACCAAGTGTCGATTGGTCACACAAAAAACATACAGATCTAGCCCTATATTCCCACGATCTAGCCATATATTACCACAACGTCAATACTTAAGGGCGTGCACAAGGGTCCTTTACTTTTTAATTACTCAGTAAATAAAATAAAAATTATGGAAGCTAATAGACTGAAATGGTTGGGGCATATTGAAAAAATGTCAGATGACAGAGAAGTAAAAACCAGGGAGATGAATGGTCGTAGACCACGAGGCAGACCAAGAAGAAGATGGAGAGATATTATCCAGACAGACCTGCAAATACTTGGTCTCACCAACTGATAAGAGAAGGCAAACAAGAGAGATGAATGGAGGCAGGTGATTTCTGCAGCAAAGAACCTCAAGGGCTCGGAATGCTGAAGAAGAAGAAGCAGAAGGAATGCAATACAAGTTTAAAAGAAATATTTCTGTTAAAATAATACTCTTACCTAGAATATTGTAAACAGATTATGCACACATGCAGTTATCATAGTCACAAAAATTGTGTGTATAGTGACCAGTTATGTTTAAAAAAAATAATAATTTCAACATATGATTGTATCAGGTATACTTACAATAAATATTTGTGTGGAGGTGTAGTTTTGTTCTGGTGAATTTCTGGTACAAGAGCCGGACCTAATGATAAAGAAAAACAGATTATTATTATTACATACTTATTTCCCCATAACATTCAAATGTGCATACTACTTATTGATTCTGCTGTATTTTATGTTCTATGGTTGTTAACTTGCTGTTATATCAAAGTTTATAGTGAAATGCTCAGAGCAATCTCAAAAAGAAATTGAAATTGTTGACTTTATTGCATTTTTGTGTGTGTGGCTTCTCTTCTTTTAATGTTATCCTAATCCATTTTCTTCTCCTAAGATAAGACATTCATGTTGTTTCGGTTGCTACGTATGTCAGCAGTCTTTTGTGTCAGGTACAGTCAACAATTTCTTATTGAGATTCCCTTCATGATACAACATCAAACTGGCTGGTAAATTGTTCCCTCTTCTTTTAAGTGTTTCTCTACAACAGCACAGTAAAAATTACCCACTGGTTGGAAACTGAAGAGCAAGTGAAAACTCCACCACTCAGGACAAACAACCATATTAAAAATTGCTACCCCAAGCCAAACAAATATGAAACAAATCACAAAAATCAAGAATATTTATAGCATTCATGATTCTTATAGGCACACTGTTGGATCCTAGCACTGTGCTGAAATTACCTTTATATGATCTATAAAAAGAGATTGGAGTCCATATGAAGAAATATCTTTGTACAATGAAAGTGATCACTTATAAATAAAAACCAATACAAAACAATATATGTTTATAAGGCTAATAGCATCACCTAAAATAAAGGCAACAGCAGTGCCAAATGAGTTGATGCTGTTGCTTAAAGCTGTCGCTGTGACTCTCTCTGTAGGATGAAACCATGCTGCGGACACTGCAGGAATAGCCCCTGTAGAGATGGGTCCACCAACCCCATTCATAAACTGCCCCACATGTATCAGTCTGAAACAGTTTAGAGTACAACATTGGAATAACCAACAACTTTAGGGTTTTGTTGTCTGGAAAGTTTACTGGCATTTGTCTAGTGCAGCGGTTCCAAACCTGCCGGTCACGACCCTTTGTTTAGTCGAACGACCCTTTCACAGGGGTTGCCTAAGACCATCAGAAAACACATAGTGATTGAAGTTATGAAGGAAAATAATTTGAGGGTGGGGGGGTCACCACAACACGAGAGAACTGTATTAAAGTGTCACAGCAATAAGGAGTTTGAGAACCACTGTTCTAGTGTATTGTTGCCTAAAGATGGCAAATTTGATGAAGAAATGACACTCAATGCAACAAAGCAAACTAAATATTTGGACAGCTAGTCTCCATCTTACAACACGAGGAGACAACCCCAGTTAGTGCACAGAAACATCTCATACAAAGCATGAGACTAGACTAGCAGTGCCAAACTTGATTACGTACAACAAAGCAGAACAGAAAATTAGTAACCATGGAAATAAGATGTCTGAGAAAGGCAGCAGCAGTGACCAGAAGAGATCAAATAAGAATAAGAGAAAATTTCAGCACAGGACCAATCTTCTTCTTCTTCACTTCCTCTTTTACCGCTGTAATGACAGGACCAATACAAATTTATATACAAAGACAGCAAATAAAGTGGTGTGCCCACTTAGAGAGAATGCATCATGATGCCACCATACAAAACATATACCAGAAGAAGAGAGGGATAAAGAGTACCAGGTAGAACAAGAACAATATGGAATGATAACATCAGAGAAACTCTACGTGATGTGTCTACGGTTAAGGCAGCCAGAACAGCATGAACCATGTATCTTTCTTATCATCTGAGCCATAGTGGAGTAAAATAAAGTTGATCCTGTCATCTTCTCTACAGCAGACGTAGTGCAGGGTCAACAAAAATCATTGCCAGAATTTTAAACTGTTATTGTAAAAGAAGATTTAATATAGTGGTTCTCAATGTGTGGGTCGTGATCCCTTTGGGGGAAAAGGGGGGGGGGGGGGGGGGGGGGGGGGGGGGGGTCCAACGACATTTTTACGAGGTTCACCTAAGACCATCTTAAAACACATATTCACTGAAGTTATGAAGTAGCACCAAAAATGATTCTATGGTTTGGGGTCACCACAACATTAGGAACTGTATTAAAGGGTTGTGGCATAGGAAGGTTGAGAATCACTGATTTAATGGATTTACACACGTGGCGTTTCAAAATGTTCAGAAAAGCTCAACTGTTAATCAGAACTGGAAATTATCATTAAATGTTGTTTTGCTTTTGACTATATTCATTGATTCTTCACATGTATTTACTACAGTATATACAAGACTGGAAATTTCCTTCAAAAAGAATCTATTTTTTGCTGTCATTTTTATACAAAAATAACCAAAAAAATATATTCATAGAAATTATAAACCAGTGATATGCATAAGCTTTTTCATAGAGGCTACGTCTTCATCATTACATGACATATTCCACCATATTAAGATGGAATTATGGTAACTTGTATTCATCTCTTCATATCTGAATAAATTTAGTATCAAAAATATTTATACAGGCTGTTATTTTAACAACTCTACGCAACACGTTGCTACTATAATGTATGCAAAAGGCCGCAAATATCGTACATGCAGATACATTTCACTGCTGGGCGATCACTGTGTTAAAGTTTTTGCGACTGCCTCTCTATTATTACTCATAATTTTTTCTACAACAGTGTCTGTTGGGAAATGTTTTCCAGCTTTTAATCATGAGGCTACTCACATTGTTGCCATCTTTGGCTCTGACGTGATGACCCTGCAGGCAGTTCCAACAGCAACACAGAGCATGCTGGTCAGTGTGGCCCATTTCAGCCCTGGAATGGACAAGTGTAAAATTTACATCCTGCTAACCATATTTTTTTTAGACCAGTCTCTACCATAATACCATGTACACAGGGACTGTGATCCAAAGCTTTCCTTTCCTTCTTTAAGTTCATAAACCAGTTGGGTAAACAAAAATGCTACTAGATATCCATATCTAGAGCCCAACTAGCTAGCTCAATTGATTATCTCCCTCTGTGTGAAGATCGGGTGATGAACTCCTTGTGGTTAGGGTTCACCCCTAGGAGTAGGTAGAAAAGCCACATTTCTCCCAGATTTACGGTATCTATCATGGAATCAAGGCCAAAGGGTTGCAAAATCCATAGTACCAAGCCAAAGGGTTTACAACTCATGGTTTCTGGATACTTAAAAAAAAAATAATAATAAATTGTAAAATCCATATCCGGAAAGCGACAGTCCAGATCCGTGATTCTGGTGATTGTGATCAATTGAGATAGTGAAAATATGACATCTTATGCTTACCAGCAACGGTCTGCATCTGTGGCTTAGGCATTGTGAATGCCAGGGTGCTGGGTTCTATCCCAGCTGCGAACAATTTGTCTTGCATTGGTTTTGAGAGTGGTACCAAGAGCTGACCAATCAGGAGGCAGTGGCAAACTACTGAACATAAAATGTGCCTAGAAAAACCACAACAGCCAAAAAATGCTGGGGGCTGGTTCTGCAATGTCCTGTAAAGGATACGCAACTAACCAATGTTTACCAACAGGGCACTTGATGATGATGAGGGTTACAATGATGATGATGATGATTGAATATAACCAGGTTATGACTCAGTACAGCGAATACAGAGATTAAGCATAGGCTGTTAAGGTCCTTTATAGGTTTTGAGTACTACATTCTGGCAGCCTGCAATCCAGCTTTATATAAAACACTATGCCGGCCACCTTTACTTTCCAAAACTTCACCTGGTACCCATTTAAGCCTGGGTCATCATGGAAGCCAAGGTGACGTTTGCTAAAAAAATCTGGCTCCATGAGAATTTGAACCCACCACCTTCAGATCTGCTGGCAAATGTTCAGTTGCTACAACATGCTAGCTTCTAGTTACATACAATATCCAGGAATTCAACGATAGGTTGGTTGGATGGCTCTGACACTGACCCAGCCACTACAACATGGTAGCTTCTAGTTACATACAATCTCCAGGAATTAAATGAGAGGTCAGTTGGCTGGCTTTTTTCAAAAATGAAATTTGCTCTCAGGTCGACCCAGCGTTGAGTGGGTACCGGGTGCAGTCCAGGGAAATATAGGCGGCCAGCATCATGCTGACCACATCACCATCTTGTGCCGATTGGTCTATAAAATATAGGTCTAGCCCTATTTGCCTAAAGGCGAGGAAAAGGGTCCTTTACTTTTCTTTACTTACTATACATCATCATTTCTGGCTAGAATATATGAGCCTAGCATCCATATATCAATGTATATGAAGAGACTGTGATTAGTATGTGACACATCACCCCATGAAATAATGATAAAGGTGATTTTTATGGCTCAATGCCATGAAAATTAGGGACTCAACATGTTCCCTATGATTAAAATCACATTACACTTTTGTCTCTTCTATTAAATTAAACGCATTTGTTAAAATGAAACTATAAATTTTCCCTTCCCCACACTTTTTTGTTTAAACCTCTAATACAAGGAATGTATTATCTTTAATCCATCAATTTAAATTACACCTCTGCGCTATTGTAATAAAATTTAATTTTACCTTTGTCTCTCTCTATTAAATTTAAATTATATCTTCTACTGAATCAAACAATAATTTATACATTTATTTTCTTCTAAGTTTTTTTTAGAACTGACTGTCAAAGGTGAAGGCAGCTGATCAGATGTCAACAGCAACTATTGACCCAGTGACATGCAGTGTTATGAGACGAGGATGATGATGAAATCTTACTAAATAACATTACCTTTCACCTGTAATAGCCAAGGGAAGAAAAAGCCGGTGAGAACATAACAGACTGGGCCCCAATTGTTCATCCATGCAATCATTGAATCCCCCCAGTTAAAAGCATCTTCACTGGTTGTAGATATAGGCCCCCAGGTGTTCCAAACAGCAGACTGTGTGAAGGAGTAGATGCTGAAGATGATTAAGATGTACCATCTACGCTTGTACACCTGTAATGATAAGAAAGATGTAATCACAGAGAGTGTATTTATCCTAAATAATGAAAATCACTTAACATCCATTAACTCCTTCATGCCCAAGGAAACACATCACACAATCACAGGTTCCTACACAGCAGTCCAATTAATGCAAAATGCACCAATCTTACATCTCTCTGTACTTTCCTTTGTGCTTCTGATGCTAGACCTCCTAGGACTGAAAGAGTTAAAAGAGGGGGGGGGGATGATTATGTCTCATATACTCAATGGCTGCTGAAGTCAAGGATGAAGCACTTATGGGTCTGTTCCGAGTGTTGTGATGTCAGTTCATAGCTGAACACTCAACACTCTGTGAATATACTGACTTTATAGTTTCAGCCCCCATATTTTGTTTTAATCAGTCAGCACTTGGAGATTATTCAGTTCAGTGCTTCTCATTTGGTGGCCGACTCTACAAATGTAAGGGATCTGTTATACCTGAATACACCCTCAGCTTTAGAATGCAGTCCTGTTTGTGATTCTATTAATTAAAATTTGTAATAAGTTCTTCAATGTGACAATTAAAACATTGAGCCCATTGCAGACCATCGGAAATAAAAGGGGTCCACAAGGTAAGCTATTATGGAACCACAGATGTAATCAATACCAATGTGAACGTCTTTACCTCACAGAAAAACTTCAATAATCACATCTCTGCCACCTCCAGACTTTTCATAATTTGTTCCCTCATGTTCCAAAATGTACTTACAGCACAACAGGTGTGACACAAACATTTGAAATAAAAATTCAGCATACTCCTTCTGCAAATTTTATGTGTGTGAAAACTCACCCGAGCTCCTGGGTAGACCCAGCCTACTATATGGGTATTAGGCAAAGTCCTGGGAAGTAAAGGTGTCTGACCTGTTGCTGACATCACCCACTGAGTGTCGACTGGTCAATATAAATGTAAGTGTAGCACCACATGTCTGAAGCCCCAATAAAATAAAAAAGGTTCTTTACTTGTCTACTATTGTCCCTCAGACAATAAATCAAAGGCGCTTATTACATAAGAGAGTCTGTAGACAAACAGTTATTATAAAGTTACCGTTAAAACTCATTATGTTACTTACTTTAAATTCATCCTGAACTCTCTCAGAATCTGAAAATAGACAAATATTATCCAGAATCCAGTCAAGTCTATATTAATATATGTTTATTAATAACTGTGAATTGGACTAGTATGTGGGGATGGCTGTAGAAATGGTGTTTTTTAACTAAAATGAAAAGAACTTAATGGATTGAAAGATAAACAAATGTGACTGCCTTTCAAAAACAGATGAAAACAAGTTGATTACTGAAATGAAATATAGGTAAGTTAGATGTTTTATCATGTTGTATGGAGAAAAAGCTAACTTGCAGATCCAAAATGTTGTATGTTCAAATCAGCATGGATATTTTCATACATAACCTTGGTTTCCAGGTTGACCCAGTCTTAAGTGGGTACTAGATAAAATCCTGGGAAGTAAAGGTGGCCGGCACGATACTGACCAGATCATACATTGAGGGCTGATTGGTCTATAAAAAAATAAGAGTCTAGTCTCATGTGCCTGATGTGCCTGTAAAGGAAACTTGACTTTACTACTTTACAATAAGGAGAAACAAACCGGGTAACTTAACTCTTTGAGTCCCAGGGGGTTTAGCATCACAGGCCCAGGGGGTAGTAAAGAGAGTCATAAAATCAGCGTATCATGCGTTCATTGGGATTTTAGGTAGGAACCTATGAACGCATGATGCGTTCCTTGGGACTCAATGAGTTAAAGTCAAGCAGTGCACATGTAGGGGAAAATCATAATAATGACTTGTTAATAAATTAATTGATTCATTATCCTGCTGTATCATTATATGTCACATAGGGCTCACTGTCTATTCATCTATTCCATTCTATTCTGTACAATCAATTCAATATCATGGAAGAATTCAAGTCCAGCAGCTTTGGCCTCTTTCATCAACATTCATCTTAGGCTTTTCCTTTGGACATCCTCACCTTCTTGATCCCATTAGTTCCCACTTTAATGCCTGTTTGGTGATTCTCTGCTGGTTTCTTCTCCAGATGTGTCCAATGTAGTGCCATCTTTTCTGTCTTATAACTGTTAATTATAGTAGTTGCCCAGATATTTCTCTTATTTCTTCACTTCTTTTGAATTGAGCCCCATTTTAATTTCATTATTTTTCTCAGACATTTGTTTCAAAAGCAATTAAGTTTCATTTCACATCTTTAGTGGTTCTCTAACTTTCACTTGCACATATTAAAATGTAATTCATTCATTCATTCATTCATTCAGTAGCATGTCCCTCGCAGAACCTCGCTGCCATAACAACCCTCCGGAAAACCTTCCGATCATGAGCAAGATGTCCTGCGTCAGATACACCCATCTGGAGATCATCTGCCACATCCTGCACCCATCTTCTCCTTGGCCTTCCTCTTCCTCTCTTCCCAGGCATATACCCCTCCATTATTGTTCTCTCGAGACTTCCGTGACGTTTCAAGTGACCAAAATATTTCAATTTTCTTTGTTTTATTGTCTTTACTAGCCAACCCTCTTCAATATTCAGCTCTTGAAGTATGGATGCATTTGTTCTTTTCTTTACCCAAGATATTCTTAGAACCTGTCTGTAACATTTATATTCAAATGCATTTATGCGCTGTTCCGCTTGTTTAGTAAGTGTCCAGGTCTCACAGGCGCATGTTGCAATGGGAAAGATGCATGCTCTTAAAAATCTGACCTTAAAATGTAATAAAGTAACAAATCAGGCCTGACTTAATAAGCATGAGAACACTTATCTGACCTAAAACTTTTAGTAACACGGGAAATGATGAACCTCTTCTTCTTCATGTTCACTGGTTATTAAACTCTGGTTGAAAGTTCTGGTTGTTTGTCTACTACTGGACTTTGGTCTTGTTTCAGAACTTGAGTTCTGTGTGCACATCCATTTTACAGATCTGGCTTATTTGAATGCAGACTGTTGGTTCCTTGCCTCTCAGGCAGATGCACTCCAACTTAGAAAGAAACCCCCCAAATAATGATGTACCTCTTTAGACTGTGTGTGTGTGTGTTTATGGGGGGGGGGGGGGGGTGTTCTATTCTTGTTTTCCCTAAATGGTGCTACAGATCCCACATAGGTAGTTGGTGAACTACTGTCATGGCACACAAAATAACTTGTAGGTGTGTGCTTGTGTAGATGACTGTTTTTTTGTGGGGGAGTGTTTATGTGTGGGTGAGTGTTTGTGTCTGGTGAGTGTTTGTGTAAGGGTGAGTGTTTGTGTGGGTGAGTGTTTGTGTGTGGGTGATTGTTTGTGTTTGGTGAGTGTTTGTATGTGGGTGAGTGTTTGTGTGTGGGTGGGTGAGTGTTTGTGTAAGGGTGAGTGTTTGTGTGGGTGAGTGTTTGTGTGTGGGTGATTGTTTGTGTTTGGTGAGTGTTTGTATGTGGGGTGAGTGTTTGTGTGGGTGAGGGTTTGTGTGGGTGAGGGTTTGACTGTGGGTGAGTGTTTGTGTGTAGGTGAGTGAGTGTTTGTGTATGGGTGAGTGTTTGACTGTGGGTGAGTGTTTGTGTAAGGGTGAGTGTTTGTGTGGGTGAGTGTTTGTGTGTGGTTGAGTGAGTGAGTGTCTGTGTATGGGTGAGTGTAAATAAAGAAGATATGCCAATCAGCTCCTACTGGGCACGTGAAGCATAGAGACACTGAGATGGCAGCTCTATTGGAGGACAGTGCATGTATGGGTTGGACCGATGTGCTCAGATGTCAATATGGACAACAAGTAAGAAGTATACGCACACACTAAGAACAAAATACCTTGTATGTTATAACGAGGTTCCATGATGCTTGTCTCGTTGAAATCCAAGAGAAATACCAAATCAGGAATATTTGACAAACATCAGAAGCATACTTGATAGCTACTTTCTGCAGTCAGTAAGATTAACAACACACATGGCTAAAGGGCAAGCACAACATTGCAAGTCCAGTGCAGACAGTTGGTTTCTCTGAAAATGAAAACATTCATGGTCAATAGAGTTGATAAACTGATCTTATGTAGAGGGTAGAGGCTTACAAAGAAAGCAAAAAAAACTACTAACTCTTTCAGTACGAATCAACTCACCATAAGTTTCTGGGTTATTTCAATGTTGCTATAATGTTCTTGGTGCTCTTCTATCACAGAGTTGTTACACATTGTTCAATAAATTTTCATACACAGAACAAATTAACATATCATTAACATCATTACAATTATAACTACAGCTGTGCTTGTATATGTTCTTAATTACTATGTACTTCCTAAATAACCAAAAGTAATTGACAAGCATAAATATCCAATATCAAACAAGAAAACAAAAACTCTGTATATCCTACTTATAACAAGGAGGGTAAAACAGCATACGAAATGACTAAAACGTTTTCTTATCCACTTATAGTTCAGTATTTTCAGTTATAGATGTTCAAACATAATCTTATGAGAAGAACAATAACAACCTCCTGTAAGAAGTCACTAGAAAGTTGCATTCTTGTTGTTCATACCAATCTGTTTAGGTCTTAATCTTCTGTGAGACATATTGTAAATTATTACCTGGCTCTCAAGTCAACCCAGTCTAATACAGTTAGAAGGAAATATCCTGGAAAGTAAAGGTGGTTAGTATCATATTGACCATGTTACTCATCAAATGCTGAGTGCTCTCTAACAATATTAGTTATCATAAAGTATCTGAAGTCATAATTAAATGTGATATTTAGCGCTGTAATAATGCTACAGTGACAATTGTGCCTGGCTATTTTGGGGACAATCATTCCAGAGTTCTAAAATTTAATCATGGACACAGTAGTATAAGTAATTAAAACAACAATATTCTGGTCAATG